CTTCAATCCTTCATTGAAGTAATTATTCTTTTTTAACTTAATCAATATATACGAAAAAATAAATCATTATAATATTACTTGTTATAATTATCAAGTGAATATGATAACAAAATGACTTACTTGTTGATTTGGTGATAAACTCAAAATTAATTGACATTGTTTACGTCGTTGAGCACAATAATGTCGTTCAAATTCAGCTCGTTCATTCAATACAGAATGAATATGCAAACATCGATAAACTGGTCCAAAATCGACTAAATCTTCTACTTTTGAAAATGTTTTATTAAAACAATCATTATTATTATTAATATTATCGTCATCATCATCCCATGTTTAATGGAGTATGTGATTTGATTACTGTTTGACGATTATCATTGTTATGATCACCGTCAACGTCAACATGATTGTCCACCTTATCATCATCATCATCTGCATTAGTAAGGCATGAATTATTTGCATTTGTAACAATTTGAGTTAACATTTCTAATTCATTATCTAAACTATCTGTATTTAAATTAACTGTGATAAAAAGAGAAAACAGATGATGATCAGTGAATCAATAATACGCAATGGTGCATATATATATACAATTAATAAAACAGTAAGCAATCAATAACATCATTAAGAATAATGAAACTATACAATCTATACAATAAACTCTTTATGGGAATATACTTTCCTTTTTCATACACAGAATTCAATGTGATGAACATGTATAAAATTGAACTATTTAGATGAATTAGTGTAATTCAGTTATTAAGTGCAAGTTTATCAGGCTTGGTCTTGAGGTTTATTTAAAGAAAGTAAGGAACTGTACTTTTTTCAAGAAGAAGAAACAATACTTAGCCTGAATGTAATGAGATCGGAAGTTGAACGCCGTAATATTATGCTCATTTAAGACAAAATTATATAAAATGTAGAGTTTTATTATTTTTACCCTATAAAAATGTCATACAAATAACAATAATGTTTTAAATCTGATTCACAGTGATTAATATGTTTCTGTAGAAGAGATGTTATCAAGAGTAAGAAATTTTATTTCAAGCATTCAATTATTGTTCTCGACCAACATTATCAGAAACTATACTCTACTACGAAAGAAATTATAGTACATACAAATAAATGTACATTACTAACCGGATCCTTTCTGAACAATAGATTTCAATGTCACTTGTTGTTGTGATTCTTTGTTTGATTTTTTATTTATGTTCTGTGTTTCTTTGTATCCATTAACTGCCAAAGTATCACATAGCGCTTCACTATCTATTCCAGATGATTGTGCTGCTTCTCGCATAGCGAATGCACCAAGAATTATTGAATTTTTCCGTATGTATTCAAGGAAATCAGTTAATTCACCAAGACTTGCATTCTAATGAAATGAAGAATGAAGAACTGTTAAACTATTGTTTTAATTCTGAAAGGTGTTTTTTTAAAAAAAAAAAAGGAAATAACTATTCATCTTATGGCAGTGTTTTGCTCGCTCAGCACAAATCTCTGTAACTCATAGGTATATAGAGAAAAAGAGACTTGGAAAATCTTCAACACTGTATTTAAACTTGGTTTATACAGATGGATAATATACACCGGGGCTTTACTTTTCTCTGAGTTAAATAAGTTAACTTGAAGCCTTTCACTATATTCCTACTCTCCCTATATATATACATATATATATATATATATATATATATATATATATATATATATATATATATATATATATATATAGTTTCTTATTGGTTCGATATTTGAAGCCTTTATCCTTAAACCATAAAGCTGTAAATAACTACTCTCATCAATGAATAAATCACGTGGATTGAAGTATTTTTGCTACGATAAATAACAAACATATAGTTCATCCCAATTTTTAAACTACTTTTGTTGCCATGTTAGTAGGTGTAGACCATTTTCTTTGGGGTGTTCGCTAGATAATTGCAACAGGTGGTTAGAGGCTTTGAACGGCATAGCTTAAAATCATTTTCCGATGGAGCAGATGCATCCATTTTTTTATCTTGTCACAAATTCTAGTATTCTAAATTCCTCGTGAGCTTTTATACTCGTCTAAATTTATTGCATTACAATACGATTCTCGAAATATATCTTCAATCCAGAATCTCTTCCATTACTGGTATTACTTCAACAACGTCTACGGATGATAGCATTTTTCTGAGGTAATGCGGTACGGAAACTTGAACTCAATCAATCAGTCAATCAACAGTAACATAGAACTTCGTACGTACGTACATCAGTTCAAAATGCCATACCACATTAACACAGAAACGCAATTATCAATTCAAATCCCATAGTAGTAAAGTTAGTAGAAGAATTAGCAGTAATCGGAGAAATTAGGGTTCGAGGATATTATGCAAGAAGTAGAATCTAGTGAAATAAACTTAGAAATAAAAAGATAAAGGTGATGAGGAACTCTGAAGGTTAGGATTTGAGAGCACACAAAGAATGAATGCACCGGTGACATTGAAAACGGATTTCAGCCATGTAATTCAAGATCTCAAACTATCGATTATTATCATCTCGCGAGCGCCAACCAGATAGTCGACACCTACCAATATGACTCACTCCATTTGTCAGTGATTTCATGGATTTCTGCCATGTTTTGGTCTGGCCGCCCCTAACTTTCTTCTAACCTATCCCTACACCTCAAAACATAGCTTGACAAGGCATTCGGTGGTTAGGCATATGTAACACATGTCCCAACCACCTCAACTGATGAAGTTTTACTTCTTCACTACTCCGCCTGCAGACCCTTCGGGGCTACTGCCGGTCTCAATCGCGGATAAATGAGGAGAGTTGGGATTAGTGTTGGCGACCCCATCGAGCAAAAAACTAACTCATTAAAAAACCCAACTTGAACTGATGTATGTACGTACGAAGTTCTACGTTGCAGATGACAAGCTGGCTGATTTTTGTTATAGTTGGAGATTACAGTTTTAAATTTGTTTTTACTTTTAATCATTATTCAACTGATGTGAACATTTGATAAACAATCTTTTGGTTAATTTATTTTTTTTAACGCTGTCGAAAAGCAGATTTTAAGTACTGACCAACAGATCTCTAACGATTATGACAAACATCTATATACAACACCATAGTTTTTAGGTTTATTTCTAGTAAGGGATATATATTAGAAGTTATATATGAATTAACCGACTATGATATTTGTCAGACTAATAGATCACATACAAGTTCATCATGATATTCAAATATATGGATTCTAGGAGAAAAAAACAAGGCACTTTATTTTATGTCCATGATAACGATGTCAGGTACTATGCCAAGCACCAATGAATTCACACATAGTGCCTAATCGAATTGTGATCAAAAGATATTAGCTAGTGGCAGGAGAAAAAATCATAACGAAACAAATATGTATTCAACAATAATAAAATATATGACATGAAAGTAAGCACACACAGTATTCAGTATTTATACAATAAAGTCAATGAACATATTGTATAAAGTAATTTGTCACTACTATTTTTTTATACAAACATATAGATATTTGTACAAAGGGGCATCTAAATATTTATGTGCCAAGTAGATCAGTAAATAAATTTGTGTCAGCTGGAATAGTTTCGGGGTATCCAAACCAAAGCAAGTAGTTTTCTTAGGAGGCTACTCCCTAAGGCTTTCACCTAGAGGTTTAATCCACAAAGCAATGGAGTAACGTCAGGAGTTGATGTCCCGTGCTAGCCAATGATCACAATAGGTTTATATGCCATTCGTTCCGTCAGGATCCTGGAGTCCATGCGCAACATTGCTTCAAAATAAGGGTTTTCCGACTCCCCTAGGTGGATGCTTCGTACCCACCAACCCAGACAGTCGCTTTTTTTCCTCGTAATTCCTCAAACAACACCGATGCCAGGCGAAAGCAGTGGGTAGGACATCCGTGATAGTGGCAATGTGCGCATGGCAATATGAGGACATTTCGAAAGAGGAAGTGGACTTTCCTCAATCTCGGCCGTAGCAGGGGATTCGGGAGTGTCAGCAATATCAACAAGAATTACTAAAGATCCTAAATCAAAACTCTAGGATTATTATACAGACTAGACAAACCTTAATTCCCGCTCTTGTTTTTGGTATGCGATGAATGATGATTTCGGAGAAGGCGAACGGGCGAATTAGATCCAGTTGTGAATGTTCTAGGTCTTCAAGATTTTTCAAGGCATGGTAATACCTTCCATCAGCAATACTTTGCTCAATGCGAGAATATTGTTCTAATATTGGAAGACTGATTTGAATGGCCTCAATACACTGATTGACATGATCTAACGTGAGTTTACAGGCAGCTAACTTATCACATGATTCGCTAAACTAGTAACAAAAAACACAGAATTTCTTCAATAAAATAACATCGTGGTGTAAAGAAAGTTTATAAATACAGATGTACATTTTGTTATAAAGCGATATATGGATTGTTATAATGGATATAAAAAGATTGAACTGCTTTAAACAAATTGAAGGTACAAATATGATACATTCAGTATCCTCCATAATTTAGTAATCTGTAAATATGACAGGATCACAATGAAATGGTCAATAACAGAAAAATTTTATTTTTGACGTTCAGTTGACGTTGTATTCTGAAAAATATTATAAGAACTTATCATAATTTAGGGATGTGTAGATTAAACATCACTTTCTATTATCTTAGCAAACACTCCAAAGTTTTGTTTAGATGCACTTAGTCAACACACTTCGTAAAATACTCCTTATGATGATATTTATCATATTTATTCGGTTAAAAAGCTTTACCGATTAAAGCTGAATTATACAAACTCAACGGATGAGGCTAGGATGGAAAACTAATCTATATGAAGAGTCTCATTGCATCGATAAATGTCAAGACAGACAGAAAAGGGAGTCACAGAATACAGTAGTGAACTAATCCAAAGCTACAACATTACAGCGCATATGGCAACGAAATCAAGTGAAGAAAATCGGAAGAAACGTAAAGCATAAAAAAATGTAAAATAAACAGGTATTATGAATGATCATAAAAACTTTACTTATATTTGCTAACTCAGAATTAAATCTACGATGCATGTCTTCTTACTGAGACTTGGACTCAGGACCCATCACTTTGAAGTCATGAAAATATCGATTTTAGTGGAACCAAAATAAAGTAGAATTAATTATTTATCTGGTGGGTCGCCTATCGCCAAAAGGTGGAAAGGCAACACTCTAGAAACTACATATTCCTAGGTTTTTCAACCTGCTACGTGAGTTTTTATCTGACATACCAATCATTTTCGTTTTTGTTTTAAATGAATACCATTAAAGTTTTGCTTGAATCCGTAAAATTCTCCGGACAAAATTCGAGTTGTAGGAACTAAGTAATGCAATGGTCATGGATTGACTATTGAAAGTGAGATTCTGGTATTTAACAATAAGAATGAATCAGATGAACCCTTTTACATCATAGCCTCGCTTTTATATGTCATTAATTTTACATTCAACAGTTTAACAATCAGTAGATTTTACATTTTGCGATAACAATGATGAGTGTGATCGATGCTGCTTACATTCATATAATCACATTTTAAAAGCAATAACCGTATCCCTTAAATCAGGTACTACATCTTAATTATGGAGTTGAATCTATAAATAGTTAACTTTTCTGACGATAAATAAAATAAGAGCCAAAACTTCACTGAATGTTCAATTTTTAGTCTCGCAGAATAGCTAAAGTATTACAAAACGTTGTAAGCATACTAACCTGCAGAATATGGTCTGTTACAGTCCGTGGTTAATAGCTTCAGAAAACCCTAGTAAACTTCTACACCTCATATTACCCTATACCTCGGACAGTATATAGATGCCAGAGACTAATTTCCGATAAGATCACAAGAGTGACCGAATTTCCAACAAAATTTTTAAGCAATGGAAATTGGATGTGGAAATTCTCACTTGGTTTTGAAACCGAACGTTTAACTGCGACTACATTTGGGTTGCCGAACTTCCTTTATCGAGTGGAATTTAAGACACAAACAGCAATCCTTGGCCTTTATTAAATGGTTTAGGGACAAAAACGTGGCCTACTAACTTACAATAACTTCGAGTCACCAAAACACGTTGAAATTTAGTTTAAAAAAATAGGAAGTGAAAAATATCCGCGTACTGAAACGTCTGGCGTAATATTCCATTTTATTCAGAGATTTGATAGCTTTTAAAATACTTAGCAGAAAGTCTCGCGATTACAGAAACCTTTTATTCTATAAAATCGAGTCTGATTAACGGAAATTTATATACATAAATACCAGCCAGCTAGTTTTCCACTTGTTGGTCTACCTTTTTTAAGTGGATGGTCAAAAGCCGTAAAATCGTGCTGAAATTTGACGGAAACAGCGCTAGCGAGAAATTAGGTAGGATAAAGAGACAAATTCAGGTATCCTGTTTAAATTTCAACATCTCAGCCATAATATCAAATAAATATAGAGTTTCGCCATTAAATTTGTTCACATTAAGGAAACTTATGATTAGGAACTACAAAAAATTGCACGATTAAAATAACCAAGTGAATGAAAGCAAATTAATCTAACCTTATTAACTGTTACTTCTAGCTCTACGTTTAACGCTTGTAAGTCGTTTTCGAGCTTTGCTGCATTTTGTTGAATATCAAGTAACTCACGTGTGGAATCGACGAAACTTTGGTAGTGGTAGCTGCATGTCTTTTCTATTTCTGCATTGTGCTCTGATGCACGCAGATCAAGAGACGCTATGAAGCTGGCAAGCAGTTCCCCTGTTGGACCTCCCATACGGGCTTTGAAAGCTGCGAGCTCACTCTCTCGTAGCTTGCGAATAACATTTGCTAATGATCCACTGCTACCAGATTCAATCTCGTCAAGTAACAGGTTGAAGTTTAAATTGTTGATATTTGATACCGACATCTCGACATTTTATTGCTCCATGGTCATGTAACTTCAGGCTTTGGTAAATTCACATTCAGCCCGAAAGCAATCGCCAACAATCAGAAATAACACAAGCATGAGATTTAACACGGAATGATATTCAGAACTAGAATTCAGTAAAGTCTTGAATGCGTTACAGTCAGAAAACTTTAAAAATTGTACATACTTGACAAGGTCATAAGATGTCGTTAATATTATGGTCAAACAGTTTATAAATCGTCGTTTCGTTTGGCAAGAATAGAGGATTATAGAATATTTTTAGGTTGTGACAGCGAATTTATATCAATTGGTTCATATTTCATATGGATAAACCTAGTTTGTTTGCCAAACAAGTAAAACTGACTTGAATACTACGAACATGAGCTTTTCTTTGAGAGACTAGCTCTGAACTCTGTATTCTATTTGTAGTAGTGTGAAATGGTATTATTTACAGCAATAACGTAATTTTTTGGAGTCACAAATGTAGCATGCATTTAAAAGCACGTGAAAAAACAAGATGAATTTTGATGAATGTGTGGACGCTATTGAAGAACTCATCGAACAAGCAGGTGGCCGTAGGTATAATAAAGAAGTTCAACGGATGATTATCCTCAACAAAATAAAGAACAATCATTGTTAGGTGAAAACGAGATGGATGAACATTAGCTGCATACTGAGAATAAAGGTTTCTACTGCTTAGGATGTGACTCCGAACTCACGTCTTAGCTAGCGTTGCTAACCGTTGCCAGTGTTGGGGTAGTAGAAAACAGAGTGTAGAAGGTGCACTCGACTGCCTAAACGGATGGTTTGCGTGTATGAGCGCGTCGTCGTACCACCAATTTACGTTGCATGTTACAAGATTTTCGACGTATGAATAACTAATCAGTACATCGGAAAGATCTGTCACGTGATAATCATAGAGCCACTGGCATGAATGATTCGGAATATAATGATGAGATACGGCAAGAAATGGAACGATTTCACTTTAGGCAAGGGCAAGGATCAGACGGGTTTACGCATGAGCAGAATAACGACAAGACAATACGGGTTTTTTAATATGAATGTAGTTTACACATCCATGTCCAGGTCGAAAACTAGCCTGGTTTTCTCGAATCTGCTCTTCACGAGCTGTATTAGGGCGTCCAATTATTGACAGAGCCAATATCTTCGACGCTATATTAGTAGAACTGATTCAGCTGTTGTTTTCACAAGAGGACTTTCGTCCTCTCTTACAGACAGAAATAATCAGCAACTGAGTCCAGTCAGATGGGATTACACGCAATTTTCGGATTCCGAAAAATTTCTACGACAATCTTATTGCTAAAACTGGACCATCACTCCTAGAAACTTAACGAGTTAGCCTGTCGTGGCCTATTACGCTTCCTCACCTTAGATTACCCAAAGCATTTTCAACTCCATTAAAGGTTTGGGGATTTTCATCTATTTGCTATTCAGAATGACTTAAAACCTTGGACAGTGGATATGTGGCTGAAAGTCAGCTGAATGGATCCCTGAAGTGTACAGCCCATCGATCCACATTCCTGGGTTGAGTATGAGTGGTACGACTATCCTTTTCTGCGACAGCTTTGCTAACAGATGGTTTTCTAATATTGGTTATCTTGAATAAGCGGAACAGTTGTCTACTGTCACCTATCATCTCTACCTTTTCTATCGCTCTTGCGTTCGCTATCCACCACTGTTCACGATCGTTGTGTGAGCTATTTATCAGTCAGAGATCAAGCTAACTCCGCTCCCATCATGTTCAGAGCCAGGTACGATGAGTTTTTGGGCGTAATCAGTTCGGTAGTTATAAAAATAATGATAATTTATTATCAAATAACCAACATTTTACAAGAGGCATGCCACTTTACAGGAAAAATCAAAATGTTAAGTTCGGCAACATATTTCATTTAAAACGGTGCACAGTTACTGAAATACTTCATAAGAGACATTGGCTCCATTTAGGTGGCTAAATGTCTTCACATAAAATTAAAGATAATTTCGCAAACTCTATAAAGTACAACGCGTATAATTGGCGCGAGTTACGACGGTTGTGTAACGACGAGCTTCCTAATGGTCGTGAAACAGTGTGTCTGGGGACTTGGTGTGAGTTTCGGGAATAGTTGATAAATCTCTTTACAGTCTAACAACAGCATTATTAGTTTCTTGAACTTAGTAATTGTGGTACAGATACGGATAGTAATTGGTAACCTGTTCCGCAATAGACTGTATCGTACTACAAAGAAATTACAATGCAATGAATTTTTTGTTTTTGCCGTAAATAATGTAGTGCGTTGTTTCTAAGTCTGTAAGCAGTGTCGTGGTTGATAATTTATCAGTTTATAGAGAAGTATTGGGTTGTTTTTCAACAGACGGTGCCATAGAGGTTCTAGGAAAAGATGTTTGCATCTTTTTGTGTAGTTGAGTTTATAGCTTAATCAGAGCGGTCGCCGCGTGAAGCTTCTCTGTACATTTTCTACTCGCATTTCGTCCATGATATTGGTGTTTGAAAACATGAGTAAACAATATTCAAGTGAGCGCCTTATACAAATTTTGAAGAGTGTAAGCTTAGCCTCACTTGTCAAGAAGTTCGTGTTTATAACCCAATTAGCCGTCTGGATTTAGAGATAATATCTGAGGCATGTTCTTCGAATTTTAGGCTTCTAGAGTAACTAATACCCGGGTCGCGCGCTGATATAAGTGTCTGAACCCTACATTTTTGTAAGTAGAGTGGTGTATCAAGGTGACGCTTACTAAAATGAATTATGCCACATTTGTCGTGGTTAAACGGTAGTTGCCATGTCTTGCTCCAGGTAGTTAAGTTATCAAGATCACTCTGAATCTTGGCTATATTTTCGTCCAGATCTTCAGGCTTATAGCTGTATACTATTTTCAGATCATCAGCATATAAGTATGCTCTTCCAAATCTTATAGTATTACATATATCGTTTATGTACATCAGGAACAAGAGTGAACCTAAGACACTTCCCTGGATAACCCCACTGGTTATTGGTCTTGGTGATGAAAAACAGTCGTTGTACTCAACCATTTGTTGTCGCCTATTTAGGAATGAAGCAAACCATGAGTGAAGTGGGTTAATGATTCCGAATGTCTTTAGATTAAGTAGAAGCCTTTTGGGTGGGACTTTAGCAAAAGCCCGTTTAAAATCGGAGAAAAGGACTGATACTAGAAGCTCTTTGTCTTGTTTATGCGTGAGATCGTTGAAATAATCTAACAGACATGTATCACACGACTTGGACCTCAAGAACCCATGCTGTGAGGTCAATATCAGATTGTTACTAAGTAGATGTTTTACTGACTCTGCCTTAACTACTTTCTCCATAACCCTAGATACTACCGAAGTTATGTTTATGGGTCGGTAATTTTCAACGTTCGCTGTAGGCACAGATTTAATTGTGGGGATGATTTGTTTAGTCTTCCAGTTATTAGGGTAACACTCTGTAAAGAGTGATATAGTGAATAGTTTGATTATTGCTACCATTTTTCAGCATGCTGGCTGTTATACCATCTGGTCCTTCAATGTAAGAGTGCTTCAGTGTACTAATCGCCTTAGAAATGTTCTGTACACTAAATTCAACACTGGCGATTTCACAGGAAGGAATTTGGGTCAGGTGTGATTCATTTGTTGGGTTTTCGTTTGTTAATGTAGCACAAAAGTGTTCGCTAAACAGCTCTGCGATACTTTTAGGGTCTTCATACACATGGTTGTCCTTAATAAATATGCTACCTCCTTTCACTTTGTAGCATTTAAGTTTATTCCGAAGAAGTTTTATAACTGCAGAGGATTCATTGTTCAGCTGAACAGCACGCTTTTACTGTGCGATTGCCTTTTGAGGACGTGTTATTCCTGCCTCGACACATATTTCAGTCATTGTTACTAATGAGGAGAAGTCATTACAATTATGAGGTCTGGAAGCATGTCTTCGAAGACGTTTTCGTATGTGACCTGGCGTATGTAAGTCCTTAGGAATTCTGGGTCTCAAGGATCCTAAGGGTGCAAATTTATCGAATATATTGTACATTTATTATTTATTAGTTCATCGGTATTGTTTTCGGTAAAGTATTTAGTCCAGTCAATGCTTCTGAGGGAATTTCGGAAGTATTCCTGATCAGTTCCATGAAAGTCCCTACGAAGTATAGTGGATTTACGTTCTACAGTTACAGCTCCTATATCAAGGCAGCAGATGACCACATTATGATCGCTACCTGGGAACTTTTTTCCAACATATACAGTATGAGGAATGAGATTGCTGGTGAAAACTAGATCCATTGTATTTTTATTTCTGGTTGAGCCTTTAACATGTTGAGCCCACTTTCCAAGCTCTAAGCATTCAATAAATGATTCGAATCGTCTAGGTGCTTTGATTGGGAACCAAGAAATTTCAGGCATGTTGAAGTCCCCACAAATAGCCTTGCTTGTGAACGGTAGGGGTGAAACAAACGTGAATACTTCTGAAAATAATGCTAGATTTCCTGTTGGTGCATGAGGCTGACGGTAGACACAGCCGAACAGTGAGAAAACTGCATTTGAGGGCTTCAGATCAATCAACACAGAATCTAGCAATCTGTTTAGCTCCGATATATCTCATGAGAATGAGTTTAGGCTAGAGTGGGCATATAATAATAATAATAATAATAATAATAATAATTTATTCTCAAATAACAAATATGAGTCATCCTCCACCTCTTGCTTGTAACCTATCACTTAGAAACAGATCATAGTTTTCAAGAGATATAGTAAGGTCAGAAATATTACTACAGGTCCATGCCTCAGTTATCATAATAAGTGATGGTTGGCAAATAATAATAATAATAATAATTTATACTCGAATAACAAACATGTTACAAGAGATATGCCAATTTACAGGCAAGATCAAAATGTTAAGATTAGCAACATATTTCTTTTAAAACGGTATACTGATACTGAAACTTTCACGAGATTCATTGGATTCCTAAAGATGGCATGTACAATGCGAATAATTGGCGCAAGTTACGAAGGTTGCGTTACGACAATCATCTTATGGACTGAGAAATAATTCATGGTAGAGACAGGTTTTCATATAACAAGAATTGATGCGGTAAATGTACAAAGGTCTGGTTGATATTCATCAGCTAATGATTTCATATGTTCTTGGGTAGGGAAACCAAGTCTACTGCAA